ACGTAATTAATCTAAAACAGAGTTCACATAAATGTTGCTCCGATTGTTTAAAAACAGGTATAAGATCTTTTCCGATATCAAAATGTACAGCAGAATGGTTAGAATTCAGGACGTGCTTTCAAAATTAGATTTTGAATTATATTTATTTACATTTTAATGCACTTTATGTGGTTCAATTATTCTATTGTTCTATTTAATTTTGTATCTTATGTATTTTTTCATTTTCCTACGATTGTTCCGGTATGTTTACATTATTTTTATTTTACTTCGTTACCCGATAATTTTATAAAAAATAATTGACTATAGTTATTGTTATTTATTATGGTAATACTCGTGACTTATGCATTATTTGTATTTAATATTATACTGCGTGAGTATTAAATCGTTCTCCTTTTTATTATAATATAATCATTGTCTAGATATTGACAATAGTTGTTTAACAATAATTTTAAGATAATAATACCTATGCAGAACAGTAAAGTTGTTCAGCGTGTCGTCTGGTCGTAGTTTCAGAAAAAGTGCAAAATGTCCTCTGAAGTAACATAATAGAACCTTTGTTATTTCGCGTCTGATACTTAATGTTCTTATTTGTAACTTTAAATATTACTTTGTAATATTTATTTATTATTACAATTATATTTCAATTTAACTCGCACTGTATAATGAATTGAAGAAACGAAGGACATTTTTATTTTTATTTATTTAACGGGTGAGGCCTTTTTTGCAAAATGTGTAAAAAAGTAAATAAAAAGGGTAGATTATATGCATGTGTGATTAAATTATTTTATATTTTCCAGATTCTATCACACGTTTCTACACTGGTCGTATTATTAAAACCTTAGACCGATAAAATTCTCGCAATATAATTTATCGTCATCTGAAACCTAAAAACATACTCTTGGACATTAGTAGTCAGTTAAAATTAGTTGATTTTGGATTTAAAAAAATACACGTTAATATTTATCACAACAAACATATTATTTATACGATTGAATAAAAAATTATCAAAATGTATTAATAAAATAAAACGAAAACCGGGATCATCTGTGGAACAACCGGAATAGGTACGATGCACATAAAGCCATTCTTAATAATGGTATACACCTACTGCTGATTACTGGTCTTCAGGAATACTGCAAATACTTTTAATTTTATGAAAACGTATAATGTATACAAATAGTTAAATTATCGTTACAATAAATAATATTGTTTCTTGGCATATTTTTAGAATATTTGTAGTACAATAAGAATGAATGGTAAATTAGTATGATGCTGTTACTGCAGATGTTACCTACTATTTGTTACTTTTTTTATGCTACCTATCAACGTTATATTTTTTTAATAGGTAGGCCCAATTATTTGAGGATAACACATAAAAATGATATTTGTGTGTGCGGTTTTCCACCAAAATGAATTTCTCATTTTACCAATAACCGCGGTTCCACCAAAGCGTGCAGATATACTGCCT